CATCATTCATGATCTGGTCTTTTTATGAATTTCTATTCCTTATATACCTGCTAACATTATAAAATCATAAAACTTCAGGTTTTTTAATAAAATAATTATTTTAACAATAAAAGGATTCCGATGGGTCTATTAGTACCTTTTTTTTTTTTTTTTTTTTTTTTTGTTAACGCTGGGGAAACCCATCATGGGGACCCTACCGGCCGTCAATGGGTAGGGTACTGTGAGACTCCTACTCACTAAAACCCACAGCGGAACCCGTCGCCGCAGTGCAATGGGGTGTGTAGGATCGCTTGCGCATTCACTACAACACCCCTGCGGACAGCCCGTACCCCGCGGGCCTGCCTCGCCTAAACCGGGATGCCCTCGATTCACAGAGCATCCCGACCGCCCCGATGACGTGCAGGGGAGTCAACGAGAGACCCCCCCGCAGTAGCTCCTCTAGGGTGGCGGGAGAAGATGCGCGTACCGGCGCCTCCTCCCCCCTAGCCGACGGCGACGAAGAGGGTCTGCTAAGGCGTTAGCCTCGCGTTCCCTCTCCGCCGTCTCCTTCAGTGAGATGACGGCCTCGCTGAAGGAGACCATCGCCGACCAGGACCTCTCGTCGCGTAGCATGGCCCCCACCACGCTTCGCAACGACAGGTCTCCACCCACTACCGCCATCAGGGCATGGCGCTGGGGAGCCCAAGCGGCACATACCGCGAGGGTGTGGTGCGAGGTGTCCTCGGACGCACCACACTCGTGGCATGCGGGCAACGGTTCCCGACGCGCAATTTGACACAGATACTTACCAAAGCACCCGTGCCCGGTAAGCATCTGCGTCAACCTGAACGTCAGGACGCCGTGTGGCCGCCTGACCCAGCGAGACAGGAACGGACGAACCGCCCCCACCGTCGCCCGGCCAGCCGCTGGAGTCCCCAGGTCTTCCCACCAGCGCCGGATCAGTGCCTCGTCAGCTAGGCGCCTGATCCGAGCGACTCCCTCCCGCGCTGGACGTTCCCCTCGCGCCCGCTCACTCGCCCGAAACCGATAGACTTCGGCGAGCACCTCCGCCTGGAGTTCCCAGGGCGGATCGCCCGCCAGAAGTGTCGCCGCCGTGAATGACACCGTACGGTATCCCCGCACCGCCCTCACCGCCAGGACCCGTTGCGCCTTGCGCAGTTGGGCCCTGTTCGGTGCGGAGAGGGCGTCAATCCACACGGGGGCACCGTACAGTGCCATGGACCTCACGATGCCGGCGTAGAGCTGCCGGCAGTGAGATCCAGGGCCCCCGACATTCGGCAGAAGTCTGCCGAGGGCCGAGGCGGCGCCTATCAGTCTCGGGGTGAGCTGGGCGAAATGGACACGAAACGTCCAGCGTCCGTCCAGGGTCAGGCCCAGATATTTCATCTGGGCCCGTACCTCCACCATCCTACCCTGGACCCGCAGACAGGCGTTGCGGGGGGCACCCCTGCGTGGGCCATGAAAGAGGAGGGCCTCCGTTTTGGAGACGGAGACCCTCAGGCCCAGCATCCCTATCCGGTCGGCGACCAGATTGGTGCCGACTGTGGCCAAGCGTGCCGCTTCCTCGTAAGAGCGCCCCCGGGCTGTGACGAGGGTGTCATCGGCGTAGGCGATGACACCGAGCCCGGGGAGAAGCGGACAACGCAGGAGCCAGTCATAGCCGAGGTTCCACAGTACCGGGCCCAAAACGGCCCCTTGTGGAACCCCGCAGTCGACACGTCGCCGACCGACCACCCCATCTGCCCCCGTCCACACGACCTGTCTGTCGCGGAGGTACGCGTCCAACACCCGCCGGAGATAGAGAGGCACCTCATGGAACCGAAGTGCCTCTCGTAGCGTCTCAAACGGCAGGGTGTTGAAGGCGTTGGCCACATCCAGCGAGACGGCTAGCATCACGCCTCCCTCCTCCACTGCGGCCAAGGACCGGACCTTCAGAGCGTTCAGGGCGTCCACGGTCGACCGACCCGCCCTGAACCCGAACTGAGCCTCCGAAAGGCCCGGCCCCACCTCCTCGAGATGCCGAGTAAGACGGGCAACGAGAATTCTCTCGAAGAGCTTGCCCATCTCACTCAGCATCACGATCGGCCTGTATGCCGAAGGGGAGTCCAGAGGACGACCCTCCTTGGGCAACAGGCACAACATCCCCTCCTTCCAGATCTTCGGGAACTGCCCAACGCGAAGACAAGCGTTGAAGAGGTCCCGAAGATCCCCTCCCAGGTATTCCAGGGCGATGCACAGAACTCGCCCCGGAATACCATCCGGTCCCGGAGCCGTCCGTTTGGCCCGCAGTTTATCGCGGGCCAATTCCATCTCCCCCTCGGTGATTGGGGGGAATTCCTCCACTCCCACAGAGCGTGTGGGAGGAGCCATCACCGGGGGGACGTGCCCAGACGACTCCGGGAACAACCCTCCGATCAGTCGCAGGAGGACCTCGGGCGGCGTGGTCTCCGTGACCGGGGCGCCATGCGCGCGGAGCTTGTTCCGCGCGCTGATGTAAGGGCGCCCCCATGGATCCCGATCCAGACCCGCCAGCATTTCCTGGCGGGCCGCCGCCTTGGCCTGGCTGATGGCGAGCTGCAGGGCCTTTTTGGTTGACCTGTATTGACCCGCCCGCAGCTCGCTCTCCAAAACCGGGTCCAGGCCATTCCTCCTGCGACACCGGACGAACCTCCGTCTATGCCAATTACACGTCGCCCGAAGCTGTGCGATTTCGGGCGACCACCAATACACAGACCGGCGACGCCGGTCGATCCGCCTGATCCGCGGCATGGCCGCATTGCACACCCTCGTAAGGGCGTCGCACATGCGGCCAGCCAGCTCCTCGACATCGGAGCTGGCGCCCACCACACTCCCCTGGGAGCACCATGCTTCTACGATGGCCGCCTCCTTGGCCAGCTCAGTATCAAGCCGGCCCAGGGCCCATCTCGGGAACGCTCGAGAGGGCCCCCTTGGGCGGTCCACCGGCACCGGACGGGTGGAGATCTCGAATCGGATATAATTGTGATCCGACAGAGTCTCCACCTCCTCCTCTACCCTCCAGTTGATCACCCTGCGTGCGACGGCGGGGGTGGCGAACGTTAGGTCCACCACGGACCCCCCCTGCTGTCGCACGCACGTGAACGCTGTCCCCACATTGAGTAGGGACAGACCGGAGAGTAGGGCCCACGTCTGAACGGCTCGCCCTCGAGCGTTCGACGTGGGATTCCCCCAGGCCAAGGACTTGGCATTAAAGTCGCCGAGGACGATAGTGGGCCTCGGCGACTGCCTGCAAACCGCAGCTCGGACGGAGTCGAGGAAGATCTCGAACTCCGCCAGACTGCGGTTGGGGGAGAAGTACACGGCGACAACCGCATACTCTCCCCACCCTGCCACGACAAGTCCTTGGCCCCTCTCGATTGCCGAGAGATGGGGGCCGGTGCTGCTCCCAGACACTATGGCCACGGAGCCCTCTAAGTCCCCCACCCAGTTCGGTTGGTGAGGAACAAAGTAGGGCTCACAGGCCACCGCCAGACCTATCTCCCACTCGGCCATGGACTGCAGGAAAAGGTCCTGCGCTCCGGCCGAGTGGTTCAGATTCCCTTGTAGGAAGCGCTTGTCGTCACCCATTATGACGACATATGCGCTTCCTCAGCCTGGCGGCTTCCGGCACTGACGACGGCTCCGGTCCCTAGAGCCGTCTTGCCTTTCGTGATGGGTGGGTTGCAGTCTCGCCCACCCATCATATGCCCAGAGGGGCGCCCGGCATCTGCGCAGACCGCGCAGCGGACTGCCTTCGCGATGCAGGCAGCGGAATGGTGCTCATCGCTGCCGCACCGGAAACACAGGCGCCCCCGCTCTACCCTCGACGGGCACCGAGGTAGGGTATGCCCCAAACCCATGCATCTGAAGCAGCGTAATGGGCGCTGCTCCAGAACCTCGACCTTGGCCGACGACCACCCGACCAGGAGTCGGCTTGCGTCGGCCACTTTTTTAGCTGCCGTAACCGGGCACCTTACGACAGCCGTGCCCATCCCCCCTTTCCCGGTGTGGACCCGGCTAACCCAGACGGCCTCTGATGAGCAGCCGCCCGCCCTTGCGACCGCCTCGGCCACCGCCTCCTTGGTGACCGAGTCGTCGAGGCCCCACACCCTCAACTCTCCCGTTTTGGTGGGGCGCGCAATGGTCGCCACCCCATCCAAAACCTGGCGGAGCTTCTCCGCCAGCCTGTCCGCTGTCTCCGGTGATGCCGAGGCTTCGAGCTCCAGCAAACGTGCCCCCGTTGCCGCAACCCTGACCGTCAGCCCTCCCGTGACTCCCAACTGGGCCAGGTCAACGCCCTGCCGCGCGCGCTCCAGCAGTTTGGCGTAGGTGACGCCCTTAGCCGCCGCCTCCTGCTGGAGCGTTATAATAACCGCCGCTGTACGCGGCGGGGCCGAAACCTTGGGCTTAGCCGGCGCCGAAGGGGCCTTTTGCACCACAGGCGCCTTTGGGCCCGAAGAGGCCTTTGGCGCCGACTTTGCGCCAGCCGGGGCAGCCGGGGCCGCAGGGGGGGAGGACTTCTTCCCCTTTCCCTTGCCCTTGCGGACCACCGTCGCCCACGTGTCATCGCCGGCAGTACTTGGTCCTGCCACAGGGGCCGGAGGAGCTGGTCCCGCCACAGGGGCTGGTGGAGCTGGCTCCGACCTAGGGCGCACCGGGGCCGCCACCCTAGCCTCATTAGTCTGACGCCTACGCGCCGCCGATCCCTCACCCGCCACAGCCGCTACCGGCACTGGCCTGTCTTGAGGCACTCTCGGCGCAGACGTAGGCGCACCTGCCTCCCTCCTCTTATCCGCTGCCAGAGGCGGACGAATCGACCTAGCTGGCAGCAGCCGCTCGTCAATTCCCGCCAGTTTGGCGTCAATTAGGGCCCCCACTGATGAGATAAGGGAGGCCCTTAATTCTTCCATAGCATCCCCCTGCAGCGAAGAGGATGGAGCACTCGCCCTCAGCTCGGAGAACTGGCGACGGTGCGCCTTCACCTCCGCCTTGAGGTTCTCCACCTCCTTGCGCAGCCGCTCATTGTCAGCAGCCACCTTCCTTGTCTCTTCGCTCGAGGAGCGAGACGCCAAAGCGTCCACAATCCCCGTCAGAGCCTCTGCAGCCAATTTGAGACGGCGGACGTACTCTCCCTTCAAGTTGCCAGAGGTCCTGGCAACGTGTAGGATTTCCGTCACGCTGCGTCCTGCCTCCGCTCTCAGGCCCTGCACGTCTCTTGCAGAGATCCCCTCCTCCTGGGTTTCAGAGTTTGACAGCTCCGAGCCAAATTCGAACACTGCCTTGTCCGCCTTATCCAACTTGTCCTCCCTATCTCCCTTCTTCTTTCTAAAAGCGCGCGCCTCAAGCGCGCGCTCAAACTCGGCCTCCCTGGCCTCAGCCTCCATTTTGCGCAGATCTGCGCGTGCGCGAGCAATACCCGTGCCCCTCCCCGTGCCCCTCCCCGACCCAATAGGCCTCCCTCTACGCGCCTTGTTTTCTTTGGCGCGGACTCGCTCATCCGTCTCCGTTTCCGAGCCTGTAGAGCCCGCCAACGGAGGACGCGCAGCAGTCCTCTTGCGCCCAATGGACGCATCTGTGTCCGCGCTGGCGTCTGAGTCAGCCATGACTCATTCGCCAACCGCACACACACGCAACACACACAAACGACGCGACAAACGTCGCCAAAACAACAAAAATCCAATCCAAATAGAAAAATCCAAAAATCCGTGAGAAAAGCCAAAAGTCAAAACATGTAGTGCAAGAATCGATGTCCAATAGTCAAAGCCAATCAAAAAACAATCCAAAACACTCGAAAAAAGATCACAATAATACCTCGAATTATTTAATCGGTCTATTAGTACCTACATAAACAACAAAAAATTCTATAACTTTCAACTTTTGGAACGAGATTTTTGTAATTGATCTAAACCACCTATTTACTTTTTTATGATTTTTTGAAGTCATCAATCTAAACAAGTCAAATTTTAAATGATATTCGCCACAGAATTGTAATTTAGAGTTATTTCAGTTTATGAATAAAGGTGCGATGTAACTTGTAGGGAATGTATATTGTACGCAAACCGTTAAAATAATAAATATTAGATAAACTTTGAAATTGCTCTTGCGCCGAGTCGCGCCGCCCCCACCCCCCGCGAGCGCCCGCGCGTCACCGGCTGCTGCTATCATAGTGTGTGTGAGAATTTGCGTATGTTGTATTTGTGTTGTTCACTGCCGGGGGGATGCAAAGCGGTATGAAACAGATAGCATTTTTAAAAATACCTACTCTCGCCGCGTATCGGCACTTCACAATCCTCTTAATAGGGGAAATTTGGCTAAAATCGGTCTTCAAAAACAGCAAGGTGGAGAATTCTTAAAATTAGCCAATTGATTAAAAAAAAAATCTATCATTCTTAAGACTAATTAATTATTAGAAAATGCTGGAAACCTATCGTGTTGGTTGGATAAGAAAAGTTTTAAGTAAGAACGAGATCATAATGTTAAAATAATTTAATATTTTTAAAATTTATAATAATTTGTCAACGTGGCCACCTCCAGAGGCAATACACATTCTACACCGTCGTAAAAACGGCAACTTTTACCTGCAATAACAATGGGCTGAAAGGATAAAAAACTGTATTGCTATCTCTCTCACTCTCGGTTGCGTGAGGGCCCGAGCGCAACCGATCAAAGCTAACGCAAAACTAGTTCGTTAGTTACCGATCTCAGTAGTGCTCACATAGTGTTTACTGCTACTTGTGTCGCCATTTTGTTATTGCTCACGGACTCCGCCTCTGCTTACTTGTTTCATTACTTAGCTCGTTTACTGGACTGTTTTGCATTTTGATTTGGATTTTGTTTACTTGGTAGTGTAAGAGATGAGTTACACGTTAAGTGAATATGCAGAAATGCATTATTTTTATGGAGTTGCACAAGGAGATGGCGTTAAAGCAGCGCGTCTGTATCGCGAACAACTTCAACGCCGTGGTGGACCGCAACCTCCGCGATATCCCGACCACCGTGTTTTTATAAACACACACAATGCTTTAATGGCAGGCCGCATTCCTGGTCAACGCGGCAATCGTGAAGCTATCCTTAGAGCAGACCCGGATCGCACAGAAGTGGTGCTGGAAGCAGTTCAGCGAAATCTGTCTACAAGTACGAGAGCTATGGCCCGTGCTTTAGACATCCCAAGGACTTCTATCCAAGCCATACTTCACGATGAAGGATACCACGCGTTCCACTTTCGACGAGTCCAAGCTTTACAGCCGACAGACCACCAATTGCGCATTGATTTTTGCCAAACCATGTTACAAAAAGAGCTAGATGATCCTGGATTTTTCAATAAAGTGTTATGGTCAGATGAATCAAGATTTGAGCGATCTGGAATATTTAATATTCATAATTATCACACGTGGGCAATTGAAAATCCACACGCTGTGAGAGCTTCAACGTTTCAAAATCGCTTTGGCGTTAACTTGTGGTCTGGTGTCCTCAATGGTGAACTAATTGGCCCGTTTGAATTGCCGACCAGACTTGATGGAGCAACTTACAAAAACTTCTTAGAAAATGAACTTCCATTGTTGCTGGAAGATGTGAGTCTCGAACTTAGACGTACTATGGTATTTCAAAATGATGGCGCTCCATGTCATTACGCAACACAAGTACGAAATTATTTAAATGCAACATACCCCAACAGATGGATAGGACGCAGTGGACCAATTAGATGGCCTCCACGCTCACCTGACCTCAATCCTATTGATTTTTTCATTTGGGGCTATTACAAAGAAATAGTATACGCCCGAGAATGTTTGAGTGAACAAGAGCTGAGGCAAAATATTGCAGACGTCCAACGTGTTGTCAGAGAGAAAAGAGAAGCATTTAGACGATTAAAACACAATTTTTTACGACGGTGTAGAATGTGTATTGCCTCTGGAGGTGGCCACTTTGAAAACTTATTATAAATTTTAAAAATATTAAATTATTTTAACATTATGATCTCGTTCTTACTTAAAACTTTTCTTATCCAACCAACACGATAGGTTTCCAGCATTTTCTAATAATTAAGTAGTCTTAAGAATGATAGATTTTTTTTTTAATCAATTGGCTAATTTTAAGAATTCTCCACCTTGCTGTCTTTGAAGACCGATTTTAGCCAAATTTCCCCTATTAAGTACAGCTTTTCTTTTATTATTATGAAAGCTGAAAATCTGCCGCATTTTTAAGAATAACTAAGAAATCATAAGGTCACCTGTTTAGATTTGTAATTTATAGTTGAAAATTTAAGTCCTAATCCACGGAACGTAAAAATTTGACTTTAGACCAACATTTTCATAACTTTCATCAAAGGTACGAAGCTAATTATTATATGCATAAAAGTACAACTCATGCGAATTCAGTTGGAAAAAAATAAAACTCTAAAGTCTTTTTCTTTTTTTTTAGAATTTTTTTAAGATAGTCAAGTCGAAATTTCTCAAAAAAACTAAAAAAATTCATAACTCCTAAACTATAAAAAATCGCGTAACATACATAGGGGTGATTCGTATACCCCACAACATACCGGACCTAAATTTTTTTTTATGACGTCAATTGACCGGCCACCCTGTATATTAATATATATAGAATATCATTCAAGGAAAGAATATAATATTATTTATCATAGACAATAACAACGGTTACCATGGCAACAACGTTCGCCTCGCTCGATTTACACTTTTCGTCACGCATTCACAAGCTTACCCCCCAAGTCAAGCGTGCATAAAGAGGTTTTACTTCAAAAAAATACATTTTTTTTCTCAAAAATAAATAGATTTTTTATATGACAAGAATTTTAAGTGTCTCATTGCTGATATTTCGTAGACCGAAAAGGCTTCATACCTTTTAAGTTTTAACGAGCGTAACTAATTGTAAGTGCAATGACCTATAAAAATGATCTGTAACTGTCAGTAGTTTTGGTTATTATCAGAATCTTCGCTACTGTTCTAAAATACCTACATTAGAAAAATCAAAAAATAAAATAATTTTGTTTTAATTTAAATTAATCAACACGTGTTTTCCGAATAATCAAATTTTATACCGCAAGTATGGAATACAACCATAGTTGTCTCATTTTTACTTTTAACCATTCCTACTTTTAACCTATTGGATGAAATGCAACAATCCACGGTGTGGAAAGGAAAAAGTGGAATTTTATACATCAAAATCACTAAACTTTTACATTTTTTTTAATCACTAATCGATTTACCACTAAGACGTTATTCATTTCCAAGTAGATAAATATTAAAAAAAAAATTGCAATAATTGACGAAATTGTACACCGTGCTACAACATCTAATACGTTATTAAAGCACTTAAGCGACTTTAATAAACCATATCAAATGATTTGAAATCCGTTTATGACTCTCATCGTGATTTACAAATAGCACGGTCTATTTAATTCAGGTTACAGTCACTAGCAAATGGATTGATGCGGTCCCTCCCCGCATCAGCCTATAAAGGCCACCGCATTAGATATCGTCGAAAAATTGAAACGACAAAGAAAACACTTATGAAAATCTTTATACGTAATACATAATATTACTTATATATATATATATATATATATATATATATATATATAAAATATAGCGACTCACATTCGCTTCGCTCGGGTTCGTCCCTATGATGAGGATACAAACTTTCATTCCCATTTTCACCCACCTGAGGGATGATTTCCTGGATATAAAGTATCCCATGTCCTTCCCAGGGTCTCAAACTATCTTCTTACCAAATTTCATCTAAATCGGTTCAGTAGATCTAGAGATTAGCCCCTACAACGTCACAAGTTCACAAATACACAAACTCACCTACTTTATTTACCTCTTTATAATATTAGTATAGATATAGATACAACAAAATTTACCGGCAAATCTTCGTGTATGCTCTTAAACACCGTGGGATCAGTGTAGAACTCCGGTATACATTCATCTGGCGTCCATTCCTGCATACGTTGTATCGAGGCGGGGTACTCTGCTGGTACCCATTTGTTCCGCACATACTTACAAAGAGTATCTTTTGGAGTTCTACAAAAAGGATGAAAGATTCTAAAACGGTACAATTTACAGAATGGACATACAATAATAATAGCATTTCGTAAATTATTGTTATCGTAAGAAAAAATATTCTTAATAACTAGCGGCTCACTCTCGTTTCGTTCGGGTTCGCCTCTAGGAAAACAAGAACAAGCCTATCCCACGGGAACCGTACATTTTTCCGAGATAAAAAGCCTATGTGTTATGTCAGACTATAATCTATCTGTGTGCCAAATTTAATATAGATACTTTCAGCCGTTCTGGCGTGAAAGAGTACAAACATCCATAGTCACAAACTTTCATATTTATAATCTTTATATAGTATAACTTCCGCTGTCTGTCACTTAGATATTTTAAACTACTCAATGGATTTTAATGCAGTTTTCAGCAATAGATAGAGTGTTTCAATATAATACATAATAATACATGCATATTATGGTACAGAATAGCTGAGCAATTTAAAGTTTAGTATTTTATACTAACCTATTTTACCATATTAGTATAGATTTATAAATACAACATTGAATTAATTTTATTAACATTTTCGCTCTCCTCTAATCATAATAAAATGCTTTTATTCTCCATATTGTAAACCTATGGCTAGCATATGCTACTTCTATCCTGGTCCATTAAAGAATTTTTCTCATGAAGTAACTAAATAATCAATATTGGATGACTTTTCCAAGATACTTATGTATATAACTAATAACACTTTTGATTAAAGCAAAGGTCTCCATTATAACTAAAAAAATAATATACCCTCAACTTCTCATAATATAAGTTGAACTTTATGTGTAATAAATAATATAGGGTATAATGTGTGTTTACCTGCGAGCTAAATAAACATAGTATGTTATGTCAGATAAGGCATCAGTGACATGATGTGGGATTTGGCCATTACAACTGGTGACATCATAAGTCATGTCTAATTGACGATCACCCTTATTTAGACGATACTTTGATTTACTCAAATCTCTCCAATTACGACCTGTGCAATTAAAATATTTAACATATACATACTATATATATTATCTAAGACATACTTAATTGAAATTGTTTCTTAAATAAAGTGAATAAATAAATTATATAGTTGGTCCCACATAACTTACCACATCTTGAATTGAAATCTGTTACCCATGGGACCATGAAATGAGCCTGAGGGTCATTAGCAGATCTTCCAGCCAAAACATTCAAGTGCAATAAATAATCCAAGTTAGAAATCCTTCCCCTCACCCATAGCATACAAAGCTTCTCTAACTGCACTGCATCACTACGCCAGCACCATTCCTCTCCTATTTTCTGAGAACTTTGACCACTTTCTGGTGGATGACTTTTGCTCTGGTTTAGTTTATTTTTTTCAAAGATTAATGAGGGATCTAAGCAGTGTATATTATTTATCATGGGTGGTATAATTTGTAGCCATAGATCTTCTGACATATAAATGTCCTGTAGCCTAAGTGTACCTACACTAAGCCCTCTATCACATAAAGCTTTAGCCACACTCAGCAACTGATACACAATAAACAATCCTCGAGCATATGTCTTATCTATTAAATTAGGACTAAAATTAAGGCAATCTAATAAATGATTCTCATAATGTCCCCTATATATTATGAAAAAATTATTGTCAGTTTCTAATGCAAATAGAGCTGCTAACAAATTAACGTGAGTTTCATAAGACTTTAAGACATGTTTGTTAGTAATATCTTTAATTTCAATACATTTGCCTGATGCATCTGTTCTTACTCTTATGACATTGCAGCCATACAATCTCAATATTACTTCTGCTAACAACTGGTCATGTTCTAACAGATTTATAATGGTACTTTCCTTGATACTTTCATTATTCTGACAATATTTCTTGTAAGACTCTTTCCACAAATTTCTTTGATTACTTTGTGAGATATATTGGATTAATTGTGAGAACGTTAAAGGAGTTTCTGGATTAATTTCATTCAGTTTATAACGTGGTAGAGGCAAAACTTTAGAGGCTTTTTTATTTAACACCTAAAATAAAATATTTTAAATTATTATTAATATTAATTAAACTTCAAGAAATAAGTGAAATTAAAATCTCTTTTATTACCTTAATAAATATTTTTTTCCATGGATAAGGAACACTTTCACCAGGTTGTAATGTAAAATCTAAATTATTTACATTATTATCAACTTCTAAATTTTTCAACCACTTCCTTAGCCAAGTATTGTGAACTACAACGGCGAATAAAGTCGGTGAGGCGGTAGGCAATATATTATTACTATTTATATTTAATTCCTTAGATATACTATCCATTTCTCTTCAAGTGTTTCTTTGTTTTGTTTTAATTCGAGTCGAGGTTACTATTCCAGATTTGACATTTTTATGACATATCGATTTAGTAATACAACATGAAAAAAATATAATGACAAAAAAATCATATAAAATGATTCCGTTATTTTTACTATTATTTTTTAAAATACATCTGTTTTTTTTTAAATAAAAAGGCATTTAAGTTAATCAACTATGTACATAAAGTGAAGTCCTTAACTTGCGTTGGACTTGAAATTTCAAGTTCAAATTATTTTCATATTATTTTCAAAATATAGCTTATACAATAGCCCTTGGCAAGTATTGCCAAGACGAAATGTTATATCACGTGTACCACGATGGTATTGGTAGAGATGTGTATTAAGTTTAAGTCGCAGCCAACTAGCTTAATCAGGCATTTGATGAGTGGCCTAGCCAAAGAGTATAGTTCTAAACTGGGCCTAGCCTTTTCACTGAATGCCGCCGTTCAGTTAGCGTAGCGGATAAATGACATCCCGGCATTTAATTTAACAGCTAGGCAAATTACTTGGTTCAATATCGTTTAATGAATTGCCTAGCCAAGTCATTAAAACTAAGTTCATTTAATTAGAAAGCATTTTTTTACAGCGCCGCGACAGGCAGCGCTCACTTCGCTCACTCGGCTCGTGCATTGTGGTGACTGTTCTAATCTAGCGTAGGTAATAGGTTAGGTTAGAACAATAATCACAATTCACAACGCACTGTTTTTGTGAGTAAGCCTTGCTGTAAACTATAGTAAAATGCTAAAAAGTGAGTAAAATATTCATTTAATTATTTTACATAAGTAAACAAAGAATTCTCAAAAATAATTATTGAATATATTTTTGTCACACGATTACCTCAGACCAACAAAAAAGTATTTTATTGGTCTGAGCACGATTACCATATTTTATGAACGGCCTAAGCATCTGCCAACCCATTCATTAAATCTTATAACTATACTCTTTGCATTAAATGCTGTATCAGACTCATTGGCTGGATACCATTTCGCCCTTTTAATTAAATGGCGCCGTTTAATTAAAAAGCTAGGCCACTAATCAAACGGCTGAGCCGCTGAACGGCTGATATATCATGTTTATATGATAACGCGAAAACGCACGGTATATTTTTGGTTTCATCACTTCTATTCTACAATTTTTTATCTTAACTATGAGATTCTGTAGCTAATTGAAGACGTAAGTCGATAACCATAAATTGAAAACCGTAGTTGAAGTAAATTATCAGCTAGATTGAAAAAAATCACCCAATGTTGTAGGCCCCGAAGCACCAATTTTAAAATACGTATTTCGGCTTTTTTCTGCTCAGCCTCATCGTTGCTAAAGTGAAACGAAAAAGGCGGCCTCAATCGCTAAAAGCGATCTCTTCCAGGCAACCTAGTGAGTAATAGTGCATAAAAATTAGATATAGGGTATAAAATACAAAAAGAATATTCAAAACAACCTGGTAGTTGCAGTTTTAAATAAATAAAACAGTAGTATAAATCATTGCAATTTGCAAAAATCAAAATGTATTTTTAAATTTTTAATTTAGAATCATTTAAATGTAATTAAATAAAAAAATCAGATTTTCTTAAACTCATGTATTTGTTTTTCTATAATTAGTAAAATATTAACTATTACAACTGGAATGTAAATATTGCATATAAAATGTTGTAAACATTTAACAAACTATTAAAATATGATATAATAAAAAATGTAAAACTGTTGGTCCACTTTATTCAGTCTATTGTTCCTCTTACACTTCATTGTGACAAGACCTTTTTTTTGTCAGTCCAATGTGCGTGAATGTGGCTATTTCATTAAATATGTCTATCGAAAAGCATGAAAATATGTAATATTTTTTGTCAAATAAACACTAATTTCTTAAAGTTATATAAGTAAAGGCTTGATTTATTCTATTTTACCCGATACTCTCTTCATATAACATTTCCATAAAGCATCTTTATAAATAACAGCTTGGGTTTCTGGGTTTTTCGATGCAACAATACCTCTTCCCACTACAATGATATCAGCACCATTTTCCAAAATAACTTTATCAGGAGTGTTATAGACTTGGCCAAGATTGTCTTTAGAGCTCTCTAACTGCACTCCAGGAGTTAGCTGAATAAGACCTGGATTATTAAAAGTATTTTTATTTTGACACACAAACCCTGTAATCAATTCTGGATATTTTGCAGCCATTTTTACAGTTGCCTCTGTATAATCAGGTGTGATGAGATTGCCCTGGAAACATTAAAATTGTTAATGAGCATTGAGCACCATTCCCATATAACAAATATTAAAAATAATTAGGTAAACATAAAATTAACCTCACTGCTCATTTCAGCCAATAAAAAAACTCCTCGACTGATACCATTTGATGAGTTATTCAAAGCCTTCAGAATACCTTCTCCAGGTAAAGAGTGTGATGTGACACAATCAGCCCAATCAGAAACTTTATATAGACCTTGAGAATACTGTAACGATACTGTATGTCCAATATCTGCATATTTTCTGTCTTCTAAGATCAAGAAGTTAAATTTTTTTGCCAATTGCTGCAGTTGTGATATAAAATTATTAGAAAAATCTTCAATGATATCCACATGTGTTTTTACTAAACATACATGGTCTCCAACTTTTTCTATAAGGTCTAAAATTTCTGTGGAAGTTGTGAGATCTACCGATAAACACAAGTTGGTTTTCTTTATAGCCATTATAGTGAATAGTTGTCTTGCAATGGCATTTTTAGCTAATTCAGCTCTTTTTTCATAAGAAATTAATATTCTTTCTGTGGCTAGTGCTGCAATATGATAAAAAATTATTTACATATCTAATATATTTAAATGAGCAATTCTTTATACGTATATATAATCTGAATCTTGGAAACGACTCCAACGATTTTCATGAAATTGGTTTTCTTTCGCATTATTCCACAAAAAATATGGTCGGTAATTTCGCACGTCGTGATCAAGCAGCCAAGGCGCAAGATCGACATTCACAGGTGTCCAGGTTCGAATCTCGGTCGGATACATAGATTTTTTTTTGTTTTTTTTTTATATTTATTCAAGTTTTTAGTTTAAAAAAAATTGTACTTCACCAAGAACCCCGAGCGAAGCTCGGTAGCCCGGGTACTGTAAGTAAAATGACATTGCATTTAGTTTTAATTTTAAGACTTTCGAGATTACTTCATAAATACTAACCAGATACTGGAGCTTGAATGTTTTTCAAATAATTCATCACATCTAGACCAATTTGCTCGCTTATTTTCTTGTTTTTAACAAGAATTTTGATTAATTCAGTCATTGTAAATAATGCTTTAATTTGTACATTATTTGAAGCCAAATTTTGTTTTCCTCCCTGTTCTCTGTCTAATATTATAATGGCTTCATCTGCTTTTAAGCCTTCTTTTCTTAAATCATTAACAGTCTCTAATACACTAGAGCCAGATGTAACTACATCTTCAATAATAAGACATAAATCACCTGGTTTGTAATGACCCTCTATAACTTTTTTTGTGCCATATGACTTGGCTTCTTTACGTCTCATCAACATGGATTTTTTGGCTTTAACACTAAGTAATGTAGCAATAGGTAATGCTGTATATGGTACACCACAAACATGTTCAAAATTGTTTCCCTTAATAGCAAAATCATACAGCAAATTAGATATTAATTCCTGCAAAGAAGTTATTTTTTGATATTAAGCTTATGGCAATTATTTAAAGATTTTTTTTAAAAATATATATTACCATAACATTAGGGTAGCTCACGATAACCCGTAGATCAAAGTAAACGGGTGTTTTAATTCCACTTTTAGTCATAAACTCTCCAAACTTAACTGCATCAATTTTGTACAGACTGAGAGCCAGTTCTTCTAATTTATTTTCGTTATCCATAATTTGTATTTGTAATTAACTTATTCAAAAGCAAAACAGTTTAGTCAGAATTTTGTATAACCTCTACAGTCTATTTATAATTAACTTATTCAAAAGAAAAACAGTTTAGTCAGAATTTTGTATAACCTCTACAGTCTATTTATTGATCATGGATGACAAATAAAAGTATATTGCTACATATATAAAGTACTGACGTTACAGATTTGAGATTTCAGAATTCAGATTATAGATTTCTCAATTCAGATTTGATTTGTGTGAAATTTGAAGATTAAAGTTTAAAGTTGGCAATTGACAATGACCATTGACAACATGCAAGTGCAATTGCTTTTTCTTAATTAACAAAGTTGCTTAAATTGAACGAATGAATACAAAATACCACATTTCCTTTCTTTTCTTTTGATAAGGAAAATAATATCAGCAAAATATAAAATATTACGTATTTCAAGTGAATTTACGTATTTCATATTAGATAACATATTTTTTTAGACAAAAAATACGTATTTTCAGTTTTGGTAAGAAAGGACTAATAGATTTCTTGAATTGAATTATTCGATGAATGAATATATACAAGGTTCTGAAAAAAGTTAATTACAAACTAAGCCAAAAAGAATGGATGGTGTTGAGAGTTTTGGTTAGTTAGACTACAACGTAGTGGGTAACCACTAGAATGTAAATTCTATTTGAGTTAGACCTTTAACTATGTATATTTTCGTTTTTATTCCTTAAAACTCATAAACTTGACACTCATGTTGACACCCTACTTAGGTTTAGGAAAAAATAATTCAGACGCCCAAAATTCAAATGCCAAATTTCAAAAACTTAAATTAAAAAAAAACCATATACCCTATGGCACTCAAGCTTAGCGTAATTTATAATACTATAGTTATACAAAATATTCGAGTAGTACAACGTGGTACAACACTAGCTCTTAATGAGGGAAACTAAGAAGCGGCGGGCGCGGAAGCATGTGTTGACCCGCCCGCGCGCCTTCCGCAACACCCACTCACGCCTGTATAATTTTATTAAAATCAGCGTTTTCTATTTAATATATTATTTATTGATGAAAAGAAATATCTTTGTTCGTCTTAGTTTGCTTTCGTGAATCATTTTTACAGCTTGGAATTGCATATTTCACCATGATTACATAAATCCAAATAAATACCGACGAGAGAAACAGTCAGCGATTGACTTTTCGTGACTAATAGCGTCGCCCTTGACATTTCGAGACTGTTCATACCCGCGCTTACAGTTCATACTTACTAGCGCGCGCTCTATAGCTTATGTATACTCTAAGCACTCAAGTTATCATGAAGAATCAAATTACGTTCATCAAAATTGGTTGAGCGTTTTAATAATTTGAATGATGTGCATAATTTATATTTTTGCTTTAGGAAGAACTCAAAGAAGTTTGTCATTGTTGTAATTTTAGCATTACCTAAAAGATGGCACTTAAAGCCACAAAGGGAAAGCTTTAGCTTAAGGGAACCCTTTTAATGTCCCACTGCTGAGAACGAGGCCTGTGCCATGGGTTAAGCCATAGTTCACGAAGCTATGACATCTCGATCCTTCATAGCGTACGCACGTGTGAAAGGATGAAATCGATGGATGTTCATACTCGTGTGTGCCGGGTATCAAAGACTTACGAAAAAAAGACATTCATTTCATTCATTCGAGTCATTTATAAACTGTTCGAGAGCAAGTGTGACGTTTGCCATCGTTTATAATTTACAGTTTCATTAGGTATACATTTGTTTTATGATATCAATGTAGTTATTATGATCGCGAATAATATAAACAATGATTTATTATTATTGTGTATTAAATATATGTGAAATTTTAATTTTATTAATAGTTCGATAATACGCAATTAAAAGTTTTTGGCGCCAAAAAATGCATTCGTTATTACATAGTGTAACTGTAATTATTTTGTAGTGTGTGTATATGTAAATAAATTGTTGATGCCACGCAGTGAAGGACACATTGGGGATTCAGGTAGATTTTGAATCGATGTTGGGGTAAAATAAAGCCCACCCTCCTAAACCGGCTAAAGTGGGGTCCCCCGCCCTCCGTAGGGGAAGTAAGGGTAGACAAAGGGTAGTCACCCCTATTCGGAGGGGAGCTCGGGCCTTGGGCGACCGTCGTTGGTAGGGGAAGGGATTACTATTTCAAGTTATTTTTTTACTTTCTAACGGGTCGCACGAGTGTGGGAAACACAAGTTCTGACTTTTACTTTAAATGTTTTTTCTTTGTGTTTTATTGAGTGAAATTTATTTCCCATGGAAAATCTAATTGAAGGTAACTTAATTATTTTACCTATATCTATTTATAAATTATATTTATGAATATAATGAGCATGTCCAAATATGTTTTTATTTTTATCAAATCAAAATTTTAAAATAATATAAACTTTTTCAATAACAGATAAGAACTCAATGGAGTTAATGCTCATGTACAAACGGAGTTTACTTGCAAAGAGCAAGCTTGCCACTATATCTAGAAGTAGGGAAGGAACTCAATACACATGTGTGGAGTGCTCTGCTCAGTATGATGATAAGGAAAAATTAGAACTACATCTATTTTCTCACTATCATGCCTATAGATTTTTGTGTGGTGTTTGTGGGACTGGGTAAGAACTTTAATGAATGCATAAATATCAATATAGCTTAAAATATTTTATATAGTTTTTAAAATAACAATTTAAAACTTGTTTTGTGATTTAGACAATAAAATCAAAATAAAATTGTACTTATAATTTAAAATGGTTTCACACTTGTTATTATAGGAGAAAATTACATTAAAATTGCAATCATACATGTTTGTATATACAGAGAAAATGAAAGGTTTTATATTTTTTAGTTTAAAACGCAAGGAACACTTAGATAGACACATGCAGGAACATACTGAGTACAGGCCACATGTGTGCCCGGAATGTGGCAAAGCATTTAAAAGAAAAGAACACCTTAACATACATAGCTCTATACATAAGGGTAATAAAAATTTAGCCTGTTCACTTTGTAATAAAAGTAAGTATATTTTGTTTACATTTAAAAAAATATAATTTAGCTAATAATACTTTCTTAGATTTACGCGAATATTTGACATTTTAAATAAAACTATCTTTTCGGATTTTGTCCGCGACAAAATCCGAAAATTTAGCTAATGTTATAATAATTAAAATCAAACTATATTTTAGCATTTCATTTTTTTAAATAACTTGTTAATGTGTTACACAAAGATAATTTAGTAATAATAAATTTATAAAGGATTTATCACTTGGATTTTTAAATCCTAATCATCAGACTTTGTTCTAGCATTCTATAGAAAGGATCATTTACAAAAACATTTACAAACCCACAACAAACATTTCATGGAGGTCAATATCAATCCAGTGAGCGATCAAGAGCTGGATATAAAGCAAGAAGTAGAAGACTGCGAAGAACTTAGTCCGATCATTACAAGTGTTAAAGGAAATGCTCATGTTGAGTCCTCCACAGAGGTATGTGAAGTCTTACATAAAATTAAGGGGCTAGTCATAGAACAATTTTTGCTTTTTTTTTGTTTTGTAATGATAACAAATCTGTCTATGGTAATTGCATTCCCAACTATTGGTTTTTACAAATACTCTATTGTTAAAATATATTTTTATCTATGCCCAAAGCATAAAGAACAGGGATAGTCCATGATGTACTGGTAAAGAAGGAGGATTGTCCAAAAATGTGCATAGTAAAAGTTATTGCATACTTTGATCTCATTAAAAATATTTATAACTTTTAAACTTTAAATTACTTTTTTCTCATAATCTATTAATTAGGACATTCTCTGTTCTTTGCTTGTACCCTTCATATTATCTTATTTATTTATTGATAGCTTATAGTTAACTGGCAAATGCGTATATATCTTACCTAAATGTTTTATTATTCTTAATGCAAGCAAATGTTTGTTTTGAAATGTCCCTTTTTTAAATAAATAGTGTTTTTTTTTCTCAACAGACTGTATACGATGAACTAGGTTCATTTTTAGATTGTTTAAAGTCAATGAGTAAAGTATGTATTTTTGTAGTTACTGGTAGTATTTTCTATTTATTACAAGAATATGTTTAAATAAAATATAAGATAAATTATTGAAGTTATACTTCTCTTGGTACGTTTGGAAAAAATATAAGGGTAAAATTTTTACGATGCGCACGCACACCGACAGCCAAAAAGCGACATGATGAAGTTGGATTCATTTCTTTTACAAACAGAGAGTTGTGACATACGGGATGAAGTCTAGCTATTTTTGTTCTGTTACGCCAAAGAAGTATACCTTCTTACGTGCGTACATAAGTACACACACACACGTTTTTTTTAATTATGATTTTACATAAAGGATAGGGATTTTTTTAAGGGTTAGATAGTCTATAAATAGTTTCTTTGTAGTGCCTATTTTCTATAATATAAAAATATCTTTTAACCCCATGTTAAATAAATAAGGGTGAACTTAAATATTACCACTCCAAACCCTATATTACTTTACCCTTATTTTTACTTACTAAATAGTGAATAAATAAATAAATTTCATTTCAATTTGAGAATAGATAGCTATTTATAAATTTGCTTTTATAAATTTTTGTAGACTTTGCCTATATTTAGACAATGTACCGGAAAGTAAGCAACTAGGCAAATAATACCCTGCGCAGGAATCGAACTTGCAACTTCCGACACCGTATTGCACTGTGGTACTTTATGTTGTATAATTCCTTAGGTCCACTTTAAGTGAAAGAAATCAAAATCCCTTAATTGCGTAATGTTCTGTCATCTGTCAGTAATATGTTATGGTACTATAAAGCTGGCACTAGTCTGCAGTAGTCAAATTACGAAAATCCTCGACCCAGTATATACTAGGTAACTGAGGAGACTTTATCTTCGGTGAGGTCTATATGCTATTTTTAAGCGAACTTTTTATTTAAGCAAAAAAGTTACCGAGTTATGTGCTTCTAAAGTCGTAAACATGTGCCCCACCAATCGCTCCCTAATCTACCCCGCTAACTTTTAAAGTATGATGCGGAAAATTCACAAAAAATGAGATTTTCAACGAAAATTACTTTTAACATAAAACGACGACAGAATAAGTTTAGAAGATTCAGAAGTATCCCATATTTTTTGTATTGGTTGTACCTTTTGTTAGCTTTGCGATGGCAAAATTAACTTTGTTTTTCATAGCATTTTTAAGAGAAATTATAAAATACAAACACATATTTTACTTTATCAATAATAATTAATTTGAATAACTTAGATGGGTAAATCCGAAATCATTATCATCATGTCCGAAATCCTTCGGTTGTTGCAATGGCACAAAAATTATTTTTTGTTTTGTTATTAAATAAAATTACAATTTAAAAAAACAACATATATTTAAACACAACTTACATCAACTTTATGATTAAAAATGACCTATATTCGCATTAGAGTAGAAATTTCATAAAAATATAAAAATATTTTTACGTAATTTTAACGTACATAAAACCTGGCTAGAAGCTTCACGGGGAGACTCAGTGGGGGAGGTAGGACTACCGCCCGGAGCGCCAGAAATAGAGGGACGCCGATGGAAAATTAAAGGGGGCAGATAAAACTACCCCCCAACCCTTTCTAAGTGCGCTCAGACTACTGGAATAGCACAAAATTTAACGCAGCGTCGACAAAATTCAGCCACGTCGCTGAATCTAGATGAAAGTGCTTGCTAAATTCCGTAGTATGAAGAGAGGAACTTGCATTTTAAAATCATGATTTAAATTATAGTTTGTTCATAGCATGAATAAAGTAAGAAATAAGGTCATAAGAGATAAATATTGCTTGATTTTCTAGTCTTCGGGTATTCTTTTGCAATGTATGTATGTGTGTGTGTGTGTGTATATATATATATATATATATATATATATATATATATATATATATATATATATATATATATATATATATAAATGTTGGTAAGCGCATAACTCAAGAATGGCTGGACTAATTCGGCAAAAATTTATAAGGCTAAGTTGGCTAATAACTATTTATAACTATTTATATATACGTATGGGATCCCTAGCCTAAAAGTTCCCCTAAACTAGCCCCTAAATTAAATTTCGTTTTATCATCGTCAGAGCCCGTATTTCTAGTAGGATATTTAGGTGGCATTTTAACATTTAGGTAACCCCTAACTGTCGGTGAAACAGAAACTGACACCTAACAGCCCTCTAACCATGTTTAGGGGATCCCTTAAACTTGGTGACGGTGGTAAAATCGGCCGTAAGACTAAGATATCACTACTCTATACATACATAAAAAATGGGTGCGTCTAACCTGTACGCGCGGTTGAATAAAACTTTTTTGGCATATATCGCAATTAAATTAAAACAAATCAATAATTAAATAAGGCATATTAGGCAATTATTATTTATTAAATAATTAATTATTTTCTAATATATTTTTATTACAATCATATATTTATAGAATATCATATTCGTAAAGAATATAATATTATATATTTCTCATACAATAACAACGGTTACCATGGTAATATAGCAAAGTATTCTATCACATTCTTTCGCCGGTTTAATCCTATATATTTATGTGTTTGTCTTTTATTAGTGTCGCATTTTCGTTCCATAAGTTTGAAATCACAACGATTCTAAAGAAGTTTCACTTAAAAACAAATATAAATATACATATATTTAAAAAAGTTAAATCTTTTAGATGGATGAACAAACAGACGATTCACAATCAGAACAAATGCAAAACGATATGGTAGTGGTGTTCGACAGCGCGAGACCCTACATGTGCTCTGTCTGCGGGAAGAGCTATAAGAGGAAAGATCACTTGAAAATACATAGTTGGACCCACAAGAAGAAGGAAGTACTTTGCGGGCAGTGTGGGAAAGGTGAGTGTCTATTTAAACTATATTACTATGATGTTTTATCTATTACCATAATAGATATTGGCCCGATTTTAGTGCGATTTTGCATATTTACCGCGGCTTTGCTCGCGCTAAGACTCCGAAAAAAATGTTATTAATTACCATTTGCCATAAGTTACTTAAAACTTATTGATCCTTAAAATTTTTTTTTTACTCTTTTTTATGGCAATAAATATTTTTTTATTTTTATTTATTTTTATAGGTTTCATTTCATTCCCTATTTTACGCCTTTAATGAATGATTGTATGAAGAATGAATTTTAAAAAATGCTAAAACATGTATTTACTTCATTGTATTGAAGAGCATTAATACCAAGATAAATAGATATTGATATATCAGTGGGAGGATCTCTACATTATTTTATTTCGCGATAATAATGGCACATTAGAAATTAATATATCAATAAAATTGGAACATTCTAGTCGCGGAATGCAAAGAGAGTATCATTACAATACAGTTACCTTTTTTGAATGAAATATTTTTGTTTCACTTGTATTTTTCCTTGTATAATTGCATATATATCCTACATATATATAAGTTTTTTTTCATTAATTTAAATGTAAACAAAGCTTGTAAGTCTTTACATCTTGCGATCTTTGAATTTTGCACACAGCAGATGTTATTGTGTGATGTCGCTTTCTAGCTAACTTTAAAAAAAAGAGAAGCAACCCATATGCTATTTATTTTTGTGTGTGTTATCTTGGCTGTTTGCGAACAAATTTTATTATTTTGACTAGACTAAAAGGTTTCCTCTTTATAACGGTATCAAATAGATACGAAAATTTTAGACCTGCTTACGTAACTTAATATAGTAATGATTATTATGAAATTTAATTTTATGATAGAAATTATAGTGGGTTCAAAATCACCTCTTAAAAAGTATTACCTTTTTAAATGGAAAGCCATAGTTATGTAGAACTCATCGGCTAGAAGTGCCTGTGCTGTCGACTCAATCCCATTAACTTAATAATACCACAAAATGCCAATAAAAGTTAATTTTACTACTAGAAACGCCACAATTTAGCTTTAAACCCTGATAGTTCATGGCTGGCCTATCTAAATTTCTAAAGACTCCTAATCGATAAAACTGGCTGCCCTTCGATCACCTATTTCCCTACGGCTCGGCCGACCTTGGGTTTCAGTCTGATTACCAAAGGGTGTTACTGCCCTTTAGAAAAATTCCAGGTAGCAACCCACATATATTCTTACAATATCTACTGCAGCAGACAGCAAAATTCACTAGGGATTTTTAACAATGTCTTTCTCCCCATTTGAGGTCGATAAACTGATTCCTTTGTACGTTTCTTGGCTTCATGCCCGGCTGGTTTGCCGGACACTACTGAGCCCCCCACCGAGGTAAAGTGGACGGCCACATATTCGAGGGGAATGAATAATCGCTTACAGAATATAAAAAAAGTTTGTATTATTGTTTCTTATATTGTTGTAATAAATATATTTTGATGTTTTTAATCTATACTATAATATTATAAAGAGGCAAATTTTGTTTTTTTGAATGCGCTAATCTCGGGAACTACTAATACGATTTGATAAATCTTTTTGCATTAGATAGCCCGTTTATTGAGGAAGGATTTATATATTGAGTCTATTTATTCCATACTAGCCGTTAAAACGTATCTAGGGATGAACCCGAGCGAAGCGAGGGTGAATCGCTAGTATTTCATATGATATATGTATGTTAATTTTATATAACTACATGATATACATACGTAGGTATGTAAAGTATAAAGTTTCCACTAACCATCTCACATAATACTTTTTGCTTTCCATATCCGAAGCTAAACATCGTATTCCAATACAATGTAGATAATTTAACAATAATGTCGGATAAGACGCTTTAATAATACAACTTACACACTATACGGTACTTTTGTACAACCGGTATTTGAACATGCAAATAGCTGGCCAGGAGATTTTCATGTAATGTTACATGCTATGTTATATATATAGTACTAGCAGAACCCGCGGCTTCGCTCGCGCTAAAACTACAAAAAAATGGGTATAAGGTCGTTTCATACAAACTTTTATCCCCTATTTTACCGCCTTCTAGAATGAATTTCTAAAAATGCTAAAACACGTCGTAACACATATTTTATTGAAGAACATTCATACCAAGTTTCAAGTAATTCTGATCATAAATATTTTTTTGGATTGTATTATAACATGTTTTCCCGTGGGAATTAGATAATCTCCCGCGGTAAAAAGTAGCCATGTCACTCTCCAGCCGTCCATCTATCTCCATACAAAAAATCACGCCAATCCATCACTCCGTTTCGACGTGAAAGAAGGACGAACGAACAAACACACTTTCACATTTATAATATTAAGTATGGATAGTATTGACAAGCTCATGCCCTCAGTTTAGCTTGTATGTGTATTTCATGTAGAACACCACCAAAAACTTGTGCATGCATTATATAAGAGTAAATACCAAGTACGAAGATTTTAAGTGCAGTATATTTAGGACTTAAGTCTTCATTGTATGACTTACTAGAACTGTTTTATTGTACCTATCTAAATTCACTTCTATACCAAAATTACTTTTTATTTACTAATTCTAATCAAATACTTTTTAATCGGTTATATTTTTAAATAATTCAATGCCGAGCGCTACGGTTATCTTCCATGTTCTCTCATGGTGAGAGTTTATCTCTCAACAAATAATTATCGTCAGATAAATCTCTCACTGAATCATGCACACAGTAAATATACACTGAAGTCCAAAATAAACAACTGCATATAGATTAAGAATCAAATACGTAACCATGTGCTGCTAACGAAATTCTAGATTCCGTCCGATACTCCGTCTGCGTGGTATTTCGATAAAAAGAGTATTTTACTCAGAAATACCAGTTCCTTTTGACTGTAATTGGTATAAAACGTTAAAACGTATCAAATGAGCTCAAACATGAACGTATTACTATTCCACTGAAAAGTTTTCCTTTGCACCTATTAGTTCCATCATCAAGTTAGATGTTATCAAATCATTGTATTGTCATTTGGTTTTCACGTACTTAAAAAGCTTTCAAATCAGTACGATAATATGCTAAATTAACCTCATTTTTGATTTGGTTACATATGTATAGGTGAAGCTAATAAAATCGGTTTAAAAATAGGTCATAAGGATATTTAAGGGCTTTTTTAGATTTACTAGCAACTTAGGGAGCTTTTTTGGGTGCATCACTAGTTACCAACATTTGATGGTCTATCTCTGTACTAAATTTTATCTAAATCGGTCCAGCCGTGGCAGCCTGAAGGAGTAACAATCATACAAACAACAACATCTACAAATTTTCGAAATTAAAATAGTAGTCTGATTGTACTTAATAGGACATTGCTTTTTTTTAGTTAATACTAGCGACTCACCCTCGGCCCGCTCGGGTTCGTCCCTAGTTACGTTTTGACGTTTAGTATAGATTTCTCAGAGATGATATATTTTCCTGCAGTAAAAAGTATCCTATATGTTGGTTGGCCCGGATAACCAGCTATCATCATACCAAATTTCAATCAAATCAAAATCTGTCCAATGGTTTTCTCGTGATGCAGTCACAGATAGACAGACAAAAATTCTAAAAACTATAGATTCGGCCTCCGTATCGATAAAAATAATGACTATTTTAATAAGATTTTCCAATAAATATTTAATGTACAGATTCGACTCAGAACTTTATTATACGAGTATATCTTTGAAGAATCAGAAATCGATCCAATTTACTTACTTAAACGTCTAATTCTTTTATAGGTACGCTGAACGTAAAACACTGTTGCACATAAACCGGTACTCAAACCAGCGACACATGAGCAAGGCCACCGTCACTTTTGTAATAAGGATGGTTTTGTAACTTTGAAAGTGTTGGTGTCCTTACGAAACTAAATTTTATTATTTTTCCGCGCACATCTTACAGGAAATATACCTTTTGTAGCTTTTATCTACAACTACCTAACACTTGTATTAGGTGTTTTAAAGTCATAATATACACTAGCATTACCCGCGGCTCTGTCCGCGTTCAGATGACCAAAAACCAAGGTTTTACTTATTAGTATACTCTTACATTACAGTTTTTGTATGTTTCTCAGAAATGAGATATTTTCCGCTGTAAAAAGTATCCTATATGTTGGACCCGGATGATCAGCTATGACCATACCACATTTCACCAAAATCCGTCCAGTAGTTTTTCTGTGATGCGGTAACAGGCAGACAGACAAAAATTCTAAAAACTATAGATTCGGCCTCTGTATCGATAATAATGTCTATTTCAATGAGATTTTCCAAAAAATATTTAATGTACAGATTTAACTCAGTTAGAATTTTATTATATGTATAGATTACATATACATAACATATTCAAGCGATTTTAAATAAGGATGTTCTCAGTTTGACTTCTTCTACATTTTTTACTACATATTTGTTATTAACTTTTATTAAATGTATGTAGATACATTTTTGTTATTAACTTTTATTAAATGTAGCTCGATTATGGTCCCATACTGGTATTTGGGACTCCCATTTAAATTTGAAGACAAAAAATAAGGGCGAAATAATTTTACTTTTTACTTTGTTTTGAAGTCAGGTGAATTTTGTGGTAAGAAGATGTTAAAATCCTTCTTAATAATACTAAAAGTGAATTAATATTTAGTTTTCAATAAAGCATTAACTAATGAAAATGCTTATGACACAACAAGTCGCACGAAAGACCGCTAATAAAAGTAGGGCGCGTCATGCTGCTCACTACTTGAGTAATAACTTTTTTTTTTAAAAAGAAGCAGAACTAAGAGGTGTTATGCTTTCAGAAGTTAAAGTCAATTGAATTAACACTGTAAATAAAAGAAATTGAACCCGCAACTTTGTAATAGTGTGGTCCATCCTAGTATAGTGTATCACAATGCGCTATAACGATCGTTCATTAAAATAGCAATAAACTTATTTAGAATAATCATCATGCTTG